CCCCAAAGGACCCGCCCTACGATGCCGGCAGCTTTGCGGAAGGTGTCACCTACGACGCCACCCCCAAGGCCGGCGCGGCCAGGGGCTGTGCTAAGCTTGCACGCCGCGCCTGGCGGGCCGTCGAGGACATGGGGGCCACGGAGGACGGCCGGGCGGACCTGAAAACAGCGCTGCGGCTGTGCGAGTGAGGGGCGCGGGCCGCGAGAAGGAAAGCGCGGGGGGGGGGGGGGCAGTGCATGGAGGACGCCTTTGTGTGTGTGTGTGTGTGTTTGTGTGCGCGCGCGTGTGCGTTTAGAAACCGCATGGGATCCGCCAGAGAGCAGTGCGCCGTAGGTGGTGGTGCCGGTGCGTGATATCTCTGCACAACACGCGGGTGCACGTGCGCACATGGGCGTGTGCGCAAGCAAGCACGCGCCCGCACACGCGTGAGCGCACACACATAACACGCACACACACACACACACACACACACACACACACACACACACATGCACACACGCACGCACGAACACACCCGCGCTCGTTTGCCCACATCTGTGCACACACCCATGCACCCATGCCTCCCTACGCCTGTTGCCCCCCCCTCAGCTCCGTGGCCCTGGATGGCGCTGATGACGTGGACGAGCTCAGGGACTGGCTGGGGTCAGCCTTTGATTACATGGCGATGGGCAAGTGAGCTGTGCCCGCTTCAGTGCTTGCTCGCAGCTGGGACGAGGTGCACCGGCCGACAAGCAACCTGCGGGTCGGCTGGCAGTGCGGGAGCATCCAGCCTTTTGCAGCTGACAGGCTGTGTGCACACAGCAGCAGCTGAACGGCCGTCCCTTTCGCTTCCACTCGACCAAGCCGCAACGACGCCCGCCCTGCGCTTGCTCTTGCAGCTTCCCCTACCCCAGCGGCTACATGCTCAACGGCAACGGCGAGCTGCCCGCCTTCCCCATGCGCGTCGCGTGCGAGGCGCTCGTCGGGCCGCCGCCCAGCGGAGCAAACGGCGGCGACTTAGAGCTGCTGTCAGGTGGGCAGCGAGTGCTGCGCCGGGGCCTCGTCGTTGGGGGCACACAGCCCGGTTGAGCAGCCGGCACGCCGCGCCCTCGCGGAAACGCCCAGCGCAGCGACGTGTGCTGAGACCTAATCACCACACGTAATTTTCCCTCATCTCTGAAATTCCTGTACTCTGCTGAGGGTGCCTGCGATCGTGTCCTGCTGACATGCCCTACTATAACAACCCCGCCCCCCCAAAACGAAGAGCAACCAGCCGCGCCCCCCCCCCCACCAACAACAACCCTACCCGGCCGCAGCCCTGGCTGACGCCGTGGGTGTATTCTACAACTACACAAAGGAGCTCGAGTGCTTCGACCCCGGGTTCGGCCCCAACCCGGAGACCGACGAGGACGGGAACTTCTGGGACTATCAGTGGTGGGGGCGCGGCGCCTGAGGGGGCTGATCGCACTGGCTTTTGCCGTGCCCTTCCTCTCGGTGCCACCGCCACGGCACCAGGTCGCCACGGAGCCGTGTAGCTCGCCCGCAGCCGCGGGTCGGGCCCGGGGGAGCTGCGGTATCTGGGGCGAGCGCCGCAGGCATACCGGGTGCTGCCGCGGCAGGGGGCGGGCCCAGCCCCCGCTCGCCCACCATCAAGCCCTCTCCCGCGCCGCCCAGCCGCCCGACGGCGCCGGGCGCCTCCCCACGCCCCCTCACCACCATCCACTCGTCACATGTCCGGTGCCGCCGCCGCCGCAGGTGCACGGAAATGCTCATGCCCGCCTCCAAGGACGGCCGTGAGCAGCCCGCGGCCCCACCCCGTTTTGCTTGAGCTGCCGTCCCTCCCAGATCTCATTTGGGGCTGCCTGCCTGCCAACCCCGCTGTGCGCCCTCGTTTTGGCCATGCGGGCATCAGAATCCCCCACCTAGCTGCGGCTGGCCTTGCGTCGCGACGCCGCAGCCTCATCACACAAACATCCATCAGGCCGCTTGCCTCTCAACACGCCTGCTCTTCACCACCTCTTCCCTCTTACAGGCAAAGACATGTTCTGGCCGGACCCCTTCAACCTCACTGCCGCCATTGAGAACTGCAACGAGACCTGGGGGGTGCGGCCGAGCAAGTTGAAAGCCACCATCGAGTGGGGCGGGCGGCGCATCGAGGCGGCCTCGAACATTGTGGTGCGTGCGCTGCCGCTTGGGGGGGGGGGGTGTCTGTGAAAAGAGAAGGGAGGGCAGGACGGGCGGGATGGAGGCTGGAGGCGCAGCCGTGCTGGCCGCCGGGCAGGGGCGCTCGGGCTGCGTTATTTCGCTGGCTGCCGGTTGGGGCTGGCTGTGTGTGCGCTCGGACGTGCTGCGCGCTGCCTGCGGATTCGCATCCAGTTGTGGCGGCGCCAGGGCGTGGCGCACGCCCCACCCCCACAAGAGCCGCCCGGGCTCCGCGCCAGCCCCCACGCGGCCCACAACCAAGCGCCCCTGTGCGCCGACATCCCGCGCCAGCCCCACAAGCACAGCTGTTACCGCTCTCAACAACATGAACCCCTCCTTTCCCTCACCCGCCCCATGACCTGGGCCTCGCCGGCAGTTTTCAAATGGCCTGCTCGACCCCTGGCACGGTGGGGGCGTCCTGCACGACGTCAGCGACACTGTGGTGGCCGTCATCATCCCAGAGGGGGCGCACCACCTGGATCTCATGTTCTCACACCCCGACGACCCCAAGTCCGTCACCCACGCCCGCAAGATTGAGCTGCAGCACATCCGGCGCTGGGTGGAGGAGGCGCGGGCGGCGGCGGCGCGGCGGCAGCGGCAGCGGCGCGGGGCCCGGGGCGGGGGCGGGGAGGCGGGCGG